ATTTCAGAAAACGTTTGTTTCTTCGAACTATGTACATTGAAGCAGTAAGGAAGGTTTCAAAAAAGATGAGTAATCATTTACCCTCATGCATTCCGCGGGTGTTTCAGCGAAGAAATACCAAGGTTGAAAAGTATTTCCGTAATCAGTTGATCTCTCTAGGATCCATGTGCCTGGTTTTGGACTGTTGGCCATTTGGATCCACACGTACGCCACATGGAATTCCTGAGATTGAAGCGATGAATTTCACAGAAATCACATTTCTCACCGTATTTTTTTACAGCTTTTGGAATAATTATTTAGTAATCATGTTTCTTTCTATAGAAATCCGACCTGCTCAAGATCAATGGTGATGTTCACATGATTGAATTCCATTCCTCTCGACAGCGGTGGAGACTGCCACCAACTGGTGTTACCGTCTACCATGTTCTCTGCCGGGTGAGCGTTCTCCGTGCCAGCCATACAATGGCCACATCCATGACCGCCCTAGACATGAAGTTATTGGCAAGCACACATTTGATGGGTAGACACCGTCAAAAAATGCTTGTGGGAGAGTAAAGATAAAATTGACTGGAAAATTGGGAAGGGGAATTCCATTCGATCTGAGAGGTAGTATCTACACCGTCGCTACTGTAAAAAACGTGAGAGCCCCTCTTTCACTTCCTTCCCTACCAAGCAAGGCTATTCAAGTTCCTCTTTTGATTTTATTTCTGCCCACTGTTAGAACAACACTGGGTGATTTATGCTGTCGTATGTACCTGGATGAAAGCCTCACGCTCCTGGCGCATTTCTCTGTACGGCAGTGGATTCGTGGTGTCCTCTTGATATGAATAGTAGTTCAGCGGCGAATATTGCGTTGAACCTGTAAATGATCCCGCATGGAGGTACATATTTAATTTCACATTTATTGATTTCTTTGGAAAACATCATAGAATAGAGCAGTTCGAATAAGCTTAGGTTGGTTCAGTAATGCAACAACATTTTATTGTTTGCACTCCAAAGACCACTACTTATGACCTATTTGAATTTTATAAAGCTATGGGAGGGTCATTTTAGCAGATTTCGACACGCATATGCGTCATGTTTGTTATACACTAAATTTTCCATTTCCATTTTCAATTTGGTGACACTCCTTAGCTTCTATCCTGCTGATACATAATAATTTTCGCTGCACATATTACGAGAAAAACGGACACGTACCCGTCAGTGAGCAGTACACTTCGTTGATCGGTTGTCCATTGTGCTCACCGCATGTTGAAGTGGCTCGGATAGGTTTACGGTGCGAAATCGTCAGCAAACTCGGCGTCAGCACCTGAGCAGCCGTCATTGTCCATAGCGCTGCTAAAAGCAGCACCGAGGACGTCATGACGCTACTGACAGCTGAAAAACACCTATTCAGTTCTGTAAATGAAGACACGGGTCAAGAACGAATTTGTGTGCTACTGCGCTCGAAAATGACACGGAAGGTGCGTACTGCCAACTTGAAAGAGAGGAAAGGAAAGGAAGGGAAATCATAGAACACATTAGCCATAAGAATAATGAACCATTTTTTTTGTGAAGTCAGCCGGTTACAACAGCGCAGCAGTGAGAGGGATCACACGAGAGAGCGCGCGTGAGATTGGTGGCAGACATCGTCGTGCTAAAGTACGAAAGTAAACAATGGCAGCGGTTGCAGCGATAAAGATGATAAATAGCGCTCCTGCTGCGAAATCCCAGTCGTGGCAAAGATACGCGAGAACTCTGCCTACTCTGCCTCTGCCTTTTACCTTACCCATGGGGAGGAATGTGCTCAAGGATTTTTACTTCACCTACGGGTAGAAATCCTCTAAAGTCGTGCGTTCATGTGGTATGGTGAATGGATCAATGTCGAAGAAGAAAAGTTATGAGAACATCCTCATAATTACGGCACTCTCAAATTATTGATGAGTAACATGGCCAATTTTTGGACTACATCCTCTTAAATGAACATAAGAAAAGTCGCCGGAGCACTTGCTTCGACTGAGACACACATCATTGATGTGAGTCAGTGGCTTACTTATTATTACTTAAAAGTTCGTTGAAATAATTGCAAGGCCCACTGCTGAGGCACCATTTTTCTAGGTCTTTCACAATACACGGTCTTCTGAGCATTAAGCGGGTAGTGAAACGATCCACGCACAAAAGATTATCAGGACAATCTGAAAAGAATTGGAACTTATCAACTGATCTATATTTGTACTTTTCTTGGGATGGGCTACGCAATCCTCTTCCCTTCTATTTTTCAGGGGTCAAATAAATGCACATTACGCTCAGGAATCACAGGTACCCAGGGATTGTAATGCACAGTTTTATGCTCGCACTCTCCCAAATGAATGGTGGCTAATGGCTGTCAATAGCTCTGGAAGGAGGGGTTTCATGTAGACGCCGAGTCGACAGGAGCCGACCTCGGATCGGGGAGGTTTGAAGCTACACATCCGTCTTCCTAGCCTGAAGATGGGGTAACTCCTCAAGACAGGACAGCTAAAGGAAGAGGCCTTCTTGTTCGGGCCCGCCTGCATTCTTACATCTAGTAGATAATTTAGACTGTCCAAATAATTGGAGAAAGCGATGTCAGTGCAATAAGAGCTGCTCCAGACGCGGGATCAAAACCTGGGTCGTATATCGTCGGGCCAAGCAAGCTTCCCTATTCATGGTCGCTGCATTGTTCACTATTACTAAGTATAAATCCGCTGGCCCCGCAGTTATTGTGAGACGTGGCATTATTCAACATGTCAGTAACGACCTCAGAATAGAGGCAGATGCATGGTGGGCACCCATAATGCGGAATTCTCCATGCCAATTTCTTCAGCCCTTATTTTTTACCCAAATGATTGAAAAGTAGAAGGGTAAGCTTGAGGTACTGTGCATGGCACCCCTTTATGATTCCTGTAGAAGTTGTGTGCAAGCGTAAACACATCATTCATTTACTTTGGAATAATGGCGAAGTTGTAAAAGCAGTGCAATCAATCTTGAGCCTATTTCTCTCACGTTGGAGTTATCCGAGCTCAGTGTTTACTGCCAGTGATGACTCTCACAGATCATCAATTACACCACATCTGGGCTATGGAATAAACTGAGCGACTTGCAGGGCTTTCGAAAACACGCCGGCCTCAGTGTAAAACAAGTTATTTTTGTGAAATTAGAAAAGGTAACCAAATTGTGAGGAGCAAAGTAGAAGAAAGACTGATAAAAGACACGGAGTGAGAGGATTTATGCTACCTGCAGCGAATAATCTTGCAAAGCAGAAGCATTTAGAGTGCTTGTTCTCAAGTGGGTTCACATGAACTGCAACATGATCACAAAAAGCGTTCGGAAAGAGCTTCGTGCTCACCTTTCCCACGTTATGTGATCGGGAGAGTCACCTTTGAGAGAATAATGAAGTAGTCAGGAACAGAATCAATAGTAACAAAGTTTACAGTCATAATACAGGCATAAAATGTGAGATGAAGCCGGCGGTGGGCCTTTGGAAACGAAACCTACCGCCCGTTTTCGCTTTTGAGTCTCCCATTTTATTTCATTCATATCCTTTGAGCAGCGGAATTTACCTGACCCAAATTATGGGTCGCATTTGACGGAAAAACCTGAGGAGCGATAGGAAAATTCATTCATACAAGTTTTAGCTAGGGCAAACTCTTTTGATCAGAAAAAATATCCCCACCAGTTGGAAAATAGGTCACCCAAAAATGTTAGAGAGCATACGCAAAATCGTACAATTCTCGACTGAGGTAAAGCCTTTTCTTGTTGGAATGGGAGAAAGCACTTGAAATAGCGCTTTGAACTAGAACATGCGCTTCTGTAACCTAAATGTGGACAGGCAAATTGTAATCCGCTGTTGAGTACTGTATCACAGTCAAGCTTGGTGGGTTCATCTAAAAAATGTCATAATATTTGTTTAGTTTCACTAAATCAGACCCTGCTATCAAATGGGCGAGCCTTAAACTTTGAAGAAATACAACAAGAAGAAAAATCGGCTGGAATCCTTTTGGTAATATCCTGAGCCTTTGGATTGCATCAAATGGTGAAGTAGTATGCAGCAGTTTACGTCTCCAGTTTATAAAATCCAGGGTGAACAGATGTTTTGGTTTTTTGAAAGAGCGCAAGTCTTTTGAAAGGTATCATCCCCATAGCTGACATTTCACTTCACGTATGTCAAGCCAAATGAATCACAAAGCGTTGTTGTATGAACAAGGACATCAATGGTGATCATAGTAATAAGGAAAGGACCGAAAAACTAAACTGAAGTTAAGAGGTCAGACAGCAATCCCTTAAACAAAAGATCTTCTTGCCCACTTCTTGAACAGAGAGAAATAGGTTAGTTCCTCGAATTGAGGGCCAAGTACTAAGAGCACTGAGGAGAAAAGTGAGATAACACAAAATTCTCACACAGGGCGTGAATGCCATATAAAATTTGTGGATGAAATAAGTTGAAACGAGTGTGTAGATGAAATCTGAGATGTGGATGCCAAGCCGCAATGGAGAAGCCACGGTGGGGTTGTGGATCCGATTGTAAAACTTGGGGTGTGAGAGGCCACAGAGAGCGTTGAAGAGACAGAAAGGAAATGAGAGATGGCCAGAGACTGGCATCGCTTACAAATGCCGCCGAGTGGCCGAAAAAGTGCCCAGAACGAGCAGCTGCTGGCATTTCGTCTGCCAGATGTTCTCCCCTCATTTGACGAGTGGGAAGTTTTTCTCCTGCTACCGATTTCTCGACACTGTCATCAGTGCTATTACCGATGCGATTTAGGTTAAAGCCAATAAGGCCGTATGCTTCCAAAGATGGAGCTTGTATCGAAGGAAAGTTAGTCGAAAATCCTAACCATAGGCCTCCCAAATCTCAGAAATACTTATCGTGAATTACTAGGTCAATACTAGATCAAAGAGTTTACTAGAATAATATGTACCTGCGCTATAGCAAGATCCGGGACAACCTCTAAGACCAAAAGCAGGATGGGCAGGAACTCCGAGGGAAAATGAATGTCGCTCACGTACCCTAGGGTATCTCCTCCATCCCTAGGGTTTGGTCCTGCTTTTAACAAAAAGGAGATGTTTCACTCTGTTTCAAATACAATGCCACCACGACGCCCCTATATCTTGCGATAGGCCTTGTACTAGCAGAAGTGCTTCCAAAAAGTTCAACATGTACAGATGTAATCTTGATTTCGTTGGTTCCCTACCCTGCAACTAATAGTGAAGATTGGTATATTAAAAATAAAAAACTTAGCAATCTAGGGACTATAAGAGTGCTCATTCAAATTGATTGACAAACTGATTTTTTATCGGGTAGGAGTCCTCGGTTCATTTAAAGAGGGTATCACGAAGCAGACCGAATTTTCACACAGCTTATTTTTGATTTGCAGGGACGGAAGGGCGCAGCTTGCCACGCACGAAATGGAGTTCAAACCCTGAACCGTACGCGTTCCCATGCCATGCAGGCCTTCCCTCGTTCCGGGCTCTTTGATTCGATACTAGATTGGTTACATTGGAATTGCTCACCGCATGTG